TAAAGTGCTCGGTTAACGCTAATTCCCTTGCCTCTATGTAAATGTGATCAAAAATAAGTTTTTTTATGGTATAGGGGATATGAGGTCACCTGATGGTAAGTGCTACACGTGCAACTCAGGAGTCTGAGTCCCCCAACAGTACTATGTTGGAAAAATGAGGGCGTTTAAAGGTCATAGCTCATTAGAGTCACCCGACACCCGACCAGCACCGCCTCGCTTCGAGCAGTTAGTATTTTTTGTATGGAGTACCATAAGTAAAAGCTCACTACATCAACTCCGGAGTGGTTCACGCGCAAGGATGATGCATCGGCGGCAAACCGCTCTCCCTCGAACGTGTCTGCCGTATGGTTTTCTGGTTAACAACGCGGAGTCCACCCGTCGACATCGAGTGGACACTGAGTCGAGGTGGTGCTGGTCGGTGGTCGGGTTAATACGCCTCTATTTGCCCCTCCAGTTATAGGTGTGGGTTTATTTAAAAAGTTGAATCTAGAAGTTATTACAAGGTACAAATTAGTAATACGAAAATGTTGGGTCGTGATAGCAATTGTTTTATAGATAACGACGTAAAACAGTTTGTGTATGTTTATCTTGTACTTTGTTAGCACAAATATTGGTTTGATTGATGTACATCTTGATAAAGTGTATGCCTTTATGTTGTTCAATATTAGAGAGAGAGAGAGAGAGAGAGAGAGATATCTTATCTTTTTTATTGTGGTATAGGGGGAACGGGCAAACGGGATACCTGATGGAAACCGACTGCCGTCGCCCATGGATACTGTATATACAACTAGACATCCTCGCAAAATTATTGATAGAGAGAGAGGAAGAGTAAGAGCATTTATAATAAAACCGTATATTTTATTTTACTTATTAAAATACATCTTTCGAACTAGTATAGGGAATTGGACTTTGACCCGTTATGGAGGATTGGCTCGAGAGGCGTCACGGGACCCTCTCATACCGACTGACGCAGGTGATCACTGGGAAAGGATGTTTCGGGGATCACCTGTGTCTGATCCGCAAGGAGCCAACGCCTGAGTGCCACCACTGCGATGGCCAGACCGTGGACACGGCTCTCCATACGCTGGCAGAGTGCCCGGCGTGGGTTGAGCAGAGGCAAGACCTCGTGGCGGCCATCGGAGTGGGAGTTCTCTCGCTCGATCAGGCTATCGTGCGGAGCGAGAGTGCGTGGAACTCTGCCGTCTCCTTCTGCGAGCAAGTTATGCTCGCGAAGGAGAAGGCGGAGCGGGACCGGGAGAGGTTTAGGACTCTCCCGGCCCGCCAGGCCCGGGAACGGGCCAGGTACCGCAGGCGACTCAGGCGCCGGAGGTCGCAGAACGACCTCCGTCCTCCATAAGCGCAGGCCTGGGGGTGACAGGTGAGGCCATCTGTCACCCTAGCAGAAGCAGGCCGGGGTGGCAGCGAGCGCGTTGCGAAGCGCGCTCGCTTCCAGGGAGCACAGGGAACATGGGGTTCCCACACGGGGGGGGGGGTGGTCTACTTGTCTGTAGATGACCCGAGGTATGTCGGGGCACCAGGGACTTCCTTTCTAGGGTATACCTGGTTCCCTGGCTATTAGTACACGAGACGGCGTGCGGTTGTAGTCGGTTCGAGTCCGACATGCCACCGACAGGTGGTATGTAGGTGGCATGTCGGACTCGGCAGGTGGTATCCGAGGCGATTTCCGCACGGAAAAAAAAAAAAAAAAGAAAGGGACTTGGACTTTAAAGTAAGTATAGAAATAAAACAATTTACGGACACCAATATTCATAAAGTTATTACAAAAATAGTGGTCTCATGTCAAGATTGAACTCACAAAAGTTAATCATATGTGTGGTTAATTTTACAAGTGCGTTGCCAGGTTTTGAGTGAAAGAAGTTTGAGGCTTACTCACACGGTGAAATACTGCAAAAAAAAATCTCAACATAGATTTTCAGTGAGGCCGTGGTATGCGACAATGGCCGCCGAGTCCGGTTAAGCTCTTTCGGCTCTTTTCAAGTGAGGTCCCTTTGCAGCAAACTAGGAGGAATCCGGGAATAGCTGTCATTAAGACGTCTGAACCCCTCCTAGTACTTGCCCGCAGCAGAGCGGGCACCACCTTTGGGTAAAACTCTCTATTCAAGCGACGCCTCTACGTTCAGACACACGCGCAAATCGCGAGCTGGCCATTATGATGGGTCGAGGAGGAATAGGCATAAGGCGTTGGAAGGCGCGCTTTAACCACCCGGTTAGCAATTAAGCAATTCCTTCGTTGGTTTCAACACCGAATGAGTGGCAACACCGGACCCCCAGCTTTCGCCTAAGGCCTGCAACGAACTAGTGAATCTTGATTTGCAGGTGTGTATGAGCTAGATACTTACCATCATTTGACCCGTCCTTTGTCTCCTATACCATTAAAGAAAAAACGAGACCTCGCAATCGTAGGAAATCATATCAGAAAGTCTGAGCTTACGTATACTCCAAAGTTTAGTTTGGTTATCAATCATTTTGACACAGGAATTTCAATATACGACGACGGGACAACGGCCTTAAGATAGTTCAGTTTGTCACGTAAGGCGATGTCTAAGAAGTACAGATAAATTTGACTAGGCAAATTTCATCCAAACCTGTCCATTCGTTCTGGCGCGTGTAATAGCAACACTAGCTTCCGGCCACAGCTTCGCCAGCGTGGATTTCAGTAACCGTGATCCTTTTTTCGCCCGGTTTATATAGCGCAAAATTTTTTGCGACCTATTCAACAGTAATCGATATATTTCAGTCAATTTACATAAAACCATCATGAGTTATACACATAAACCTTCCTTAAAAATCACACTATATACCGGTGAAAACTGTACAAAAAATCTGTTTGCTAATTTTTGAGTATATCGCGTTTATACAGACAGACAGTCGCGGCCTGAGGACTTCATCAGTTACTAAATTCATTGGATTTTGACCACTCTGTCATCCCGTCATACACTTGACACCGATTCAAATGAAAATGTTAACGAATTAACCTGACATGAAAAGATTCAACAGCACTCATAATAAAATATCCCCGTATCTGGTACGAGCTATGAGATAGTGGTACAGATACGGGGACGATAAAAGAATAGGTAGCGTTATCTCGGCTAACGTGTGTTGTTTATTAAAGAGCAGATTAAACATTGCTATGCCAAAATTTCGTAACCGTTATCAGAATTAAGTGGCCTTGAGCTAAATATCCTCCATTTTCTAGGTATATTATATATGTAATTTATCTTTGACGTATCGACTTATGCGATCAGCGAAAATGTTGATATTATGTCATAGCGATTAAATAAGGGTCAATGCCAGGAGCATTATTAAGTGCTCTTGTTGAGCGTGTTGTTAGCCTTGCTGGATCTGCATCTCTATGACATCAATGGTATCTTGTAATCATACGCAGTCCTAAGATACCACATAAGATGTGACCGGAAACATGAAGATCAATTTCTGGACTCCTACTTCTTACTTACTTTATAAAGGAGTGAGAGGCAGAGCCCACGCCACTTCCCCCCGACAGACAACCTTTTCCGACAATGAGCGGACGCGTTTGATCACGTCGAGCGTTTCTGTCTCAGCCCATTTGCAAGGACCACCAAAGCGCACTCCCATCCTCGGCCCAAAATCCCATTAGGGCCTAGGGCGGTGTTGCGGGCGGCGAGTCACTTTCCGGCTCGGTCTAGCTCTTGTTCCGTCACGTCCGAGTCGTCAGACCACGTAATCGGTTCCGACGGCGACAGAGAACCTGAGTCCCTGGGGAAGAGAGTATCTACTACTCTTCCCACAAACTGCGGGTGCAGGGTCTGCGTCAGCAGCGGGACCCATGGTCTCAGCTTGCAAAGAACAATTTTGTAAGGGCGCCCCCATGGGTCCCTGTCCAGTCCCTCTATGAGACCTCCTTCCTGGACCAAGCAGAGATCCCCTTGGCTCGCCGTCGTCTTCGGGTTCTCTTAAAACCGGCGGCGGTCGCTCGAGCACGCTGTCCACCAGTACAGAGAACCTCTCCCACCCCCAGCCTGATCCATGGCATCGACACGTCACAGACGTCAATAATAATGCCACGCAACCACGTGGCCTGCGCTTCTGGATCGGATGAGACCTGTTCTTCCTCTTCCTCTGCTGACGCGACGAGCATATCTCGGTTCATCCGCTTGAGGGCAGCTACTGCGGCGGTCCGGGCCTGTGCTTGGGCGGCGGATGGCCACATCGAACACAATGTGGCGGTGGTCCGAGCAAGTGACCACTTCCTCCGCCACCCTTCATCCTGACACCTGGTCGATGACCGAGGGAGTCGCCCACGTCAGATCCACGATCAACTCCCCCTGCCACCGCCCGCAGGTGCTGACTGAACCCTGATTCAGAATGCCCAGATTCAGTCCCGCCTCAAACTGAACATCATACAGACTTTGTCCGACTGACAAAGAAAACTAAGAACGTAAATAAGAAATTCTGTTCATCATCAAACAAAATATTCGCATCTATCAACATTTTACCTGATTACCTAAATATGACAACTAAATTATTATTACGAAGTTAAATACACCACGAAAAATCAAAAACATCTCGGTATAACGGTAAAATTAATTTCGGTGTTTGCCTAGCCCTGATTTAATAAAAAAATCAAATACTTAGGAGTATTGAATAAAATATATTAGAAGGTACGGGAGATGTAGACATAACAAAGGATATTGCTTAGCTAAAAATATATTACGTGTTTCAACTCTGATATTTACCGATCAAAAAACTAAGAAAATTAATTCTACATATATCAATAAATATTTTTAGCCTTGCTCATTCTTATTTAAAAGAAAAAACCTCGAACATAAAGCCTAGCTAAACAAACAATTATTAATAAAGTCTTTTCCACCTTTCAACATATTCCATTGTCTCCGTCGTTGTTAGATCATCTAAAATTTCCACCGAAACAAAACAACACGCAAAATAATTAAAACTTCCAGAATTTTAATTTAACATCGTCATAAAAGCAACATTGTTGTCTAAAAGTATTTTAATAAAAACCACAATACCTGTTTGACGATCAGCCTCGCGACCCTCGGACTCGCGAAGGTGACGAAACCGTAACACTTGGAGACACCAGCCCTGTCGTAGATAACCCTGGCCGCCGTCACCGTGGCGAACCCAGAGAAAAACTTCCAAAGATCCTCATCAGTTGTCGTCAAAGAAAATCCACCAACAAAGATCCTATTGTGTATAACAGTCCCGAATTTAGGAGCATCCGAAGGTGGGAGGGTGTCATCAGTGTCATCGTCGGGCGAATTCAACAGGGCCTTCAACTTCTCATGGGGATCTGCCGTCTTCCTGTTATTAGCCGTACTTTCTTCGACCATATGAGCGCAACTCGCCGACTCACTCCTTATGTACCGTTTAACAACACTCTCCATTGTTCCTAGCACAGTTTTTAACACTAATATAACATGTTCCCTTGTTTACTAAATTAATATCACTAGCAGCAACTAAAAGAGCACTGGTAGTTCAGACGAAAAAACAACTGATTGTCGGAGCGTGAGGGTTTATCGATTACGGTAGCACTTATGTTTTATAGGTAGATTTTGTGAGTTGCGCGTAGCGAGTCGCGATGTCACAGACACGAACGTTTTAATAAATGGGATGTTTATAAAAAAAACAAGCGAGATAACAATGTGTGATTTGAGGATTTTTAGATACGCACTATAAATAGTGTTTGAGCTATTGTCGACCGCTATTTTTACTAGGCGAGGGAACTAGGTCAGCGGTTGACACCTAGCGGTTGGGCGTTCTTAATGGTTCTTATCTAAGTTATGTTTAGTTGTGCTACATTAAATACAGGTGGCGCGAATGTTTTCGGAATATTTAATCAGATTAATCAATTTAGTGTTACACATCTATTTCTTATATCAAGTGCGAATATTGCTTATTTACTACGCAAGTGTCTTAAAGTATACAATTTAAAGTAACTAAATAGTATTTTTTTAAATACCGAGTTATTTATAAACATGCTTCGCAATTGTTAATTTAATTAATTCTGTTTAGTTTAATTAGGAACACTTTAATTGTTTGTAGCAATATCAAAACGCATTCTGATTGAGAATAATGTTGCAAGCTATTTCACTAAATTCTTGTACATCGGAAATTTTACATTCATCGAAAACATTTGGAGCTCAATACTTGGGTGCTTGAGACTGTACACAAAAATATGACACAGACCTCTAAGTGTTAGAAGTAGATATGAACTACTTCAGTGCCTTTAGATTTTAATAACTAGTTACTAGAAAAACACAAGGTACCTTAGAAAATAAAACTTGGCTTTTTCGAAACCGGTTAATTATTTTAATCAATCATTTACATTCCATAAAATTTCGTTTAAGTACTTTATATACAATACGGTTTTCATCCCGTGGTTGTGGTTGGAGCCACCTAAGGGAACAACCTATGCAGGACAAGAGCATGCAGAGCAAGAGAAAGAAAATGGTAATGGTAAAGGTAAATTTAATGGTAAACCTAAATAGTTTCAGTGTTGTGATATTTTTAGTAAATGTACCAATTTCTCTAGGAACATGTCTACGTTTGTGGAATGCATTTCCACTGCCATCAGACGAGAACAAAGCATTTCCAATATTGTTGAGCGACGAGAGGACCCTGATGTCCTTAAATCCTGTTTAAACCCACATCTTAATCTTGCTATTAAATGTATCCTATCTTGTGTAGTGCATATGTGTGTCTATTAGTGTGTGTGTATTCAGTGTGCTATGTAAGTCATTATATAAGTTTGTTAGTCTTATATTTAGCTTGTATTGTACTATCGTATCGTACTGTAAAATTGCAACTCCCACTGTCATTCTTAATTTCCTTCTCCATCCAGCGGTTGCCAGGAAGAGATCGCACATCGCGATAAGGCAATTGTACAACTATTTTATATAACTAGTTTGACCGTCTTTTTGTAACTGTCCCTAGATTATAAAACTCATTCAAATGTATACAAATTGTTCTATAATTATGTCACAGTGTGTAAAGAGTAATCTATCTATGTAATTTGTCATCACAACCATAACAAAATATAACTATGTGAAAGAAGAGAGAGACTAAGAAGAAAGGACTAGTTTAGAGTATACAATGTTACAATAATTATTTTTTAATAAATCTTTTAATTTATTTAGTCAGACACAAACATTTTCGGTACGGTGACAAATGGTAAAGAAATTATTGAAGCAACAGGTCTTTCTCGAACTGATTATGGCAACACTAATAAATCAAACGTCAATGTCACCGTTCAGTTGAGTAGGTTGTTATGCGATTTTTTTGTTTAGATTCGCTTTCAATGTTTCTATTCTACGTTTGAACTCACAAAAAGTGTTAAAAGACTCATATTTGTGATGAATTATACGCTTGAAGTGATAAATAATATAGTTTTGTGGCCTTTAAACGAGTTGAGTGATGGAATTTTTGTTCTAATTGGATTATCACCTTGCTTCGCTCGTTTATTGCAAAGGTAAGTGGTTTTGTGTTGTAATAGTGACCTGGAACATCCTCAATTATGTTCATGTTCGATAAATAAAGGCGTATTATTGGTAGTGGCGTAATAAAAAACAATGTTTCGATTTTAGCGCGCACTTTCTATTTTCTGTTACCTTCATTTGAGGATAATAAAATAATGCTTTATAACTAATGAGCCGGTTTAGCTCTGTGTTTTAAGGCGTGTTGTATATCAGTATATAGGGAAAACCGGTACTGGTTAAACCAAGGTACAGTTAAAGGAATGGAGTTATTATGTTCCTTTTCCCTTGGAGATAAGATTGCTTTTCGAATGACATTAGTTCTTCATTGAGTACATCAAAGAAAGTTCTCATTAACAGCTGTTTGTGTGATATTGACATTAAGTGGAAAGTGGTTTTTGCTTATATTCTATGTAGTGTAATACATAGGCCGAAAGACATCCACTGCTGGACATAGGCCTCCTACTAGGTCCCGTCCTGCATTGTGCTGCCCGCATCCAATAATTAGAAGCGGGCAGCACAGGACCGACGACTTTAGAGTCTACATAAAAGCCGATTTCAAACAGTTTTTAAAATTTTATGAAATATAGATAATTTGAATTTTTTGGTTGAGATGATGATGATGATGATGAGTAATTATTATAATATTGAGGCCAGGATAGGTTTTAGCCCTTCTATTGCAGTAGCTAGCCTCTGGATGTCATTGTCATAAACCAGCAAATTTTCTGTGATACTGACACTGCCTTCCGAAAACCGCAATGATGCTGATGACCATAGACACATACTAAAACTTTAAAAAAAAGAACATTCTTGTTTTGATGATAAAAAAATAAAAAAAATAATCTAGTAATTTAATTCAAGTAAGAAATGATCTCTGAATATTTTGTAAATTCTACTAACATGTTACAAAAAATATGAATGTAAGACTGAACAATTATATTAAATGTATCAATAAAATAATCACTAAAGTAATTTGAAATGATTTTTGTAAGAATAATTCTTGATAACTCATCAATCATCAACAACAGCCTTTTATAGTCCATTGCTGGACATAGGCCTCTTCTTAGAAAGGAGGTTTTGGCCTACTATTCCACACTGGTCAGACGGGTTGGTATGGGGTTTGTGTCAAGTTTTCCTTCTCTTTGCAGTGCTATTGTCCTGTAGAGTTTCCTCCCTTAGTCAGCTTTTACGACACCCTTGGGATGAATAGGGGTGGTCACACTCTTTATTCTTAATCCGTCACCACATGAACAAAAAATTAGGTTTATAAATATAAGAGAAAAAGTGGTGGCAACAACAAAAGTCTTTTAAAGTTATTTTGAATTAACTTTCCAAATTAGTAATGGATGTGCAAAATGGCATGGGCTTCTCATGTGGTGGTGTTTAATTCTCACGTGGGAATACACCTAGTATGCACTGCAAATAGCCATATAACCATACTAATATTATAAATGCGAAAGTGTGTCTGGCTGTCTGTCCATCTGTCTGTCTGTCTGTTACCTCATGCTTAAACCACTCAACCGATTTAGATGACATTTGGTATGGAGATAGTTTGATTCTTAGAAATGCTACTTTTTACCGCGATAACCAACATATACGCAGGCAGAGCCGCAGGCAAAAGTTAGTGCTAATTTTTTTTCTTATTTTTTACGTGTGGAAACCCACTCGGGCCGTCACCCAACCAGGGTTTGCACAGGGCTAGTGTGTCGGAATCGGACCGACTAAAACCACATGGTGAGCCACTCTGCGCCTGTAATAGGAGAGATCCGGGAGCTGCTATGCTATTAAAACAAACGGGAAATGCTAAAAAAAGGCTTCGGGCGATAATGAAATAGCAAATAAAGTGATAAAAGAAGCTTGTAAACTTTCGGGTGACTCGATTTTCACTGTTTTTAAACGTTGCATTGCCGAAGGAATATTTCCTTGTATTTGGCGGTGCGGTAATATTCGTATAATACCAAAAAGCGGCGTCAAGCCGCCGGATGATCCTAAATCCTACCGACCAATCACATTGTTACCATCGTTCGGAAAGCCCGGTGGCAAAGACAATTTGGATTTACGTTGGGGAAATCGACAATTGATGCGATTATATCGGTTAGGAAGTTTGTCACAGAGTCAAAATTTCAATACGCGTTGGCTATTTTCTTAGATATATCTGGCGCCTTCGACAGCGCATGGTGGAATTAATATCACGGGGGTGCTTTAAAAATATTTATACCCATATCTCTTCGTACTTTTCATAAGGTACAACTAAACTAAGACTTGGTCATCATTCTGTGTAGAAGGCGCTTACAATGGTATGTCCTCAGGAATCAGTGCTGGGTCCATACTTGTGGAATATCGGCTTTGACGATTTTCTTGCGATACCAATATCATCCGGTTGTACTCTGAACGCGTATGCTGATGACGGTTTATTACTGGTGGAATCTGATACTAGGACGGGGCTTGAGAGATTAGCCAATAGATGTTTTAACTTGATATCTCATGGGCGCGAACATAATCGTTTAACTTTTGCACCCAACGAAACCTTCCAGCTACTTTTAAAAGGTAACCTCAAATCAACGCCGATTATTAAATTTGACAATGTCATAAAAACACCTCAGCGTGTTATTTAGGATTCGTTTTAGAAAGAAACTTTTCATCTATTGAACATATTAAAATAGTTAATGAAAAGTCTAAAAAGAGTTTCTGTGCATTGACAAGGATATCAATATCGGTTGCCGATAGGGCAACCGTAGGCGCTGTCCGTTGCAAACTGGTACAAGGCCAACGATTTGCACTGATGTTCTTGTGCAAGGCATATAGGACGGTTAGCACTGAGGCTTTGCCGATGTTGGCGAGTGTGCTTCTGGTCGATCTCGAGGTGCAGAGACGTGCAGCTATGTACTATTCAAGACAACAAAACATGGAAT